ACCAGTAACCCCATCAGACCAGTAACCCCATCAGACCAGCAACCCCATCAGACCAGTAAACCCCATTAGACCAGCAACCCCCGTCAGACCAGTAAACCCCGTCAGACCAGTAACCCCATCAGACCAGCAACCCCATCAGACCAGTAAACCCCATCAGACCAGCAACCCCATCAGACCAGCAACCCCATCAGACCAGTAACCCCATCAGACCAGTAAACCCCATCAGACCAGTAAACCCCATCAGACCAGCAACCCCGTCAGACCAGTAACCCCATCAGACCAGTAACCCCATCAGACCAGTAAACCCCATCAGACCAGCAACCCCATCAGACCAGTAACCCCATCGGACCAGCAAACCCCATCGGACCAGTAACCCCATCAGACCAGTAAACCCCATCAGACCAGTAACCCCATCAGACCAGTAACCCCATCAGACCAGTAAACCCCATCAGACCAGTAACCCCATCAGACCAGTAAACCCCATCAGACCAGCAACCCCATCAGACCAGCAACCCCATCGGACCAGCAAACCCCATCGGACCAGTAACCCCATCAGACCAGTAACCCCCATCAGACCAGTAACCCCATCAGACCAGCAAACCCCATCAGACCAGTAACCCCATCAGACCAGTAAACCCCATCAGACCAGTAACCCCCATCAGACCAGTAACCCCATCAGACCAGTAAACCCCATCAGACCAGTAACCCCATCAGACCAGCAAACCCCATCAGACCAGTAACCCCATCAGACCAGTAAACCCCATCAGACCAGTAACCCCATCAGACCAGTAACCCCATCAGACCAGCAACCCCATCAGACCAGTAACCCCATCAGACCAGTAAACCCCATCAGACCAGTAAACCCCATCAGACCAGTAACCCCATCAGACCAGTAACCCCATCAGACCAGTAAACCCCATCAGACCAGTAACACCCATCAGACCAGTAACACCCATCAGACCAGTAAACCCCATCAGACCAGTATCCCCATCAGACCAGCAACCCCATCAGACCAGCAACCCCATCAGACCAGCAACCCCATCAGACCAGTAAACCCCATCAGACCAGTAACACCCATCAGACCAGTAAACCCCATCAGACCAGTATCCCCATCAGACCAGCAACCCCATCAGACCAGCAACCCCCATCAGACCAGCAACCCCCATCAGACCAGCAACCCCCGTCAGACCAGCAACCCCATCAGACCAGTAACCCCATCAGACCAGTAAACCCCATCAGACCAGTAACCCCATCAGACCAGTAACCCCATCAGACCAGTAAACCCATCAGGCCAGTAACCCCATCAGACCAGTAAACCCCATCAGACCAGTAACCCCATCAGACCAGTAACCCCATCAGACCAGCATACCCATAGTTAATACCCTTAGTCCGTCCCTTTATTCCATACATTTAGTCTGTCCCTTTAGCTTGTCCCTTTAGTCTGTCCCTATAGTTTGTCCCTTTAGCTTGTCCCTTTAGTCTGTCCCTATAGTTTGTCCCTTTAGTTTGTCCCTTTAGTCTGTCCCCATAGTTTGTCCATTTAGTCCGTCCCTATACTTGTCCATTTAGTCCGTCCCTATAGCTTGTCCATTTAGTCCGTCCCTTTTGTCTGTCCATTTAGTCTGTCCCTTTAGCTTGTCCATTTAGTCTGTCCCTTTAGCTTGTCCCTTTAGTCTGTCCCTATAGTTTGTCCCTTTAGTTTTTCCCTTTAGTCTGTCCCTATAGTTTGTCCCTTTAGTTTGTCCCTTTAGCTTGTCCATTTAGTCTGTCCCTTTAGCTTGTCCATTTAGTCTGTCCCTTTAGTTTGTCCCTTTAGTCTGTCCCTATAGTTTGTCCCTTTAGTTTGTCCCTTTAGTCTGTCCCTATAGTTTGTCCCTTTAGTCTGTCCCTATAGTTTGTCCCTTTAGTCCGTCCCTATAGTTTGTCCCTTTAGTCTGTCACTTTAGTCTGTCCCTATAGTTTGTCCCTTTAGTTTGTCCCTTTAGTCTGTCCCTTTAGTCTGTCACTTTAGTCTGTCCCTATAGTTTGTCCCTTTAGTTTGTCCCTTTAGTCTGTCCCTTTAGCTTGTCCCTATAGCTTGTCCCTTTAACTTGTCCCTATAGCTTGTCCATTTAGTCCGTCCCTATAGCTTGTCCGTTTAGTCTGTCCCTATAGTTTGTCCCTTTAGTTTGTCCCTTTAGTCTGTCCCTATAGTTTGTCCATTTAGTCCGTCCCTATACTTGTCCATTTAGTCCGTCCCTATAGCTTGTCCATTTAGTCCGTCCCTATAGCTTGTCCATTTAGTCCGTCCCTTTTGTCTATCCATTTAGTCTGTCCCTTTAGCTTGTCCATTTAGTCTGTCCCTTTAGCTTGTCCCTTTAGTCTGTCCCTATAGTTTGTCCCTTTAGTTTGTCCCTTTAGTCTGTCCCTATAGTTTGTCCATTTAGTCCGTCCCTATACTTGTCCATTTAGTCCGTCCCTATAGCTTGTCCATTTAGTCCGTCCCTATAGCTTGTCCATTTAGTCCGTCCCTATAGCTTGTCCATTTAGTCCGTCCCTTTTGTCTGTCCATTTAGTCTGTCCCTTTTGTCTGTCCATTTAGTCTGTCCCTTTTGTCTGTCCATTTAGTCTGTCCCTTTAGCTTGTCCATTTAGTCTGTCCCTTTAGCTTGTCCCTTTAGTCTGTCCCTATAGTTTGTCCCTTTAGTTTGTCCCTTTAGTCTGTCCCTATAGTTTGTCCCTTTAGTTTGTCCCTTTAGCTTGTCCATTTAGTCTGTCCCTTTAGCTTGTCCATTTAGTCTGTCCCTTTAGTTTGTCCCTTTAGTCTGTCCCTTTAGTTTGTCCCTTTAGTCTGTCCCTATAGTTTGTCCCTTTAGTTTGTCCCTTTAGTCTGTCCCTATAGTTTGTCCCTTTAGTCTGTCCCTTTAGTCTGTCCCTATAGTTTGTCCCTTTAGTCTGTCCCTTTAGTTTGTCCCTTTAATCTGTCACTTTAGTCTGTCCCTATAGTTTGTCCCTTTAGTTTGTCCCTTTAGTTTGTCCCTTTAGTCTGTCCCTATAGTTTGTCCCTTTAGTTTGTCCCTATAGCTTGTCCATTTAGTCCGTCCCTTTTGTCTGTCCATTTAGTCTGTCCCTTTAGCTTGTCCATTTAGTCTGTCCCTTTAGCTTGTCCCTTTAGTCTGTCCCTATAGTTTGTCCCTTTAGTCTGTCCCTATAGTTTGTCCATTTAGTCCGTCCCTATACTTGTCCATTTAGTCCGTCCCTATAGCTTGTCCATTTAGTCCGTCCCTTTTGTCTGTCCATTTAGTCTGTCCCTTTAGCTTGTCCATTTAGTCTGTCCCTTTAGCTTTTCCCTTTAGTCTGTCCCTATAGTTTGTCCCTTTAGTCTGTCCCTATAGTTTGTCCCTTTAGTTTGTCCCTTTAGCTTGTCCATTTAGTCTGTCCCTTTAGCTTGTCCATTTAGTCTGTCCCTTTAGCTTGTCCCTTTAGTCTGTCCCTTTAGTTTGTCCCTTTAGTCTGTCCCTATAGTTTGTCCCTTTAGTTTGTCCCTTTAGTCTGTCCCTATAGTTTGTCCCTTTAGTTTGTCCCTTTAGTCTGTCCCTTTAGTCTGTCCCTATAGTTTGTCCCTTTAGTCTGTCCCTATAGTTTGTCCGTTTAGTTTGTCCCTTTAGTCTGTCCCTATAGTTTGTCCCTTTAGTTTGTCCCTTTAGTCTGTCCCTATAGTTTGTCCCTTTAGTCTGTCCCTTTAGTTTGTCCCTTTAGTCTGTCACTTTAGTCTGTCCCTATAGTTTGTCCCTTTAGTTTGTCCCTTTAGTCTGTCCCTATAGTTTGTCCCTTTAGTTTGTCCCTTTAGTCTCTCCCTTTAGTCTGTCCGTATAGTTTGTCCCTTTAGTCTGTCCCTATAGTTTGTCCCTTTAGTTTGTCCCTTTAGTCTGTCCCTATAGTTTGTCCCTTTAGTCTGTCCCTATAGTTTGTCCCTTTAGTCTGTCCCTTTAGTCTGTCCCTATAGTTTGTCCCTTTAGTTTGTCCCTTTAGTCTGTCCCTATAGTTTGTCCCTTTAGTTTGTCCCTTTAGTCTGTCCCTTTAGTCTGTCCCTATAGTTTGTCCCTTTAGTCTGTCCCTATAGTTTGTCCGTTTAGTTTGTCCCTTTAGTCTGTCCCTATAGTTTGTCCCTTTAGTTTGTCCCTTTAGTCTGTCCCTATAGTTTGTCCCTTTAGTTTGTCCCTTTAGTCTGTCCCTATAGTTTGTCCCTTTAGTTTGTCCCTTTAGTCTGTCCCTATAGTTTGTCCCTTTAGTTTGTCCCTTTAGTCTGTCCCTTTAGTCTGTCCCTATAGTTTGTCCCTTTAGTCTGTCCCTATAGTTTGTCCGTTTAGTTTGTCCCTTTAGTCTGTCCCTATAGTTTGTCCCTTTAGTTTGTCCCTTTAGTCTGTCCCTATAGTTTGTCCCTTTAGTCTGTCCCTTTAGTTTGTCCCTTTAGTCTGTCACTTTAGTCTGTCCCTATAGTTTGTCCCTTTAGTTTGTCCCTTTAGTCTGTCCCTATAGTTTGTCCCTTTAGTTTGTCCCTTTAGTCTCTCCCTTTAGTCTGTCCGTATAGTTTGTCCCTTTAGTCTGTCCCTATAGTTTGTCCCTTTAGTTTGTCCCTTTAGTCTGTCCCTATAGTTTGTCCCTTTAGTCTGTCCCTATAGTTTGTCCCTTTAGTCTGTCCCTTTAGTCTGTCCCTATCGTCCTGTATGAAAAATATTTAATTAATAATTTTTTGGTGTTTTGAAGCGTATGTCGAGCTGACCTTAAGGTCTATTTTTCGTATAAAACTAAAGGAATAAATGCAAATCTGACGTCTTGCGCATGCGTATTAGCCATGCTGGTCTGACAGAACACCGGCTTTTCCAGTCACTTCTGCTTTGACAGAAAAGCTGTAAAAGTTTCCAGGCTTTAAATGAGCGCAGTGAGATGACAGCGGACACCATCAATCTTTAGAAACATTCAAATCATGAACTTTAGAATCAGTGAAGAGCAGCAGCTCACCTGCGCTTCACTCTTCAGCCTCCATCACCTGTGCGCGTGTCTGAAGAGTCCAAAGAGTCCGCGGCTTGGAGGCTCTCTGCCATTGATTCATCACCCAAAGCATCACTGATCCACCTAGAAGGGCCGCATCCTGGGCCGATCCGAACCGAACCGATCCGAGCAGTTTGGGGTCACAGCAGAGAGGAACGAGCCGCTGCTCTGACTGCTGAGAGCAAACAGGAAGTGGAGCACTGAGGTACATGTGAGCTGCTGTGACGGTGGCTGTGTGTGTGTGTGTGGGGGGGGGGGGGGGGGGGGGGGGGGTGCATGTAGAGTAATGCAGGGATGTTGAACTACCCCCCCCCCCCCACACACACACACACAGACACACACACACACCCACCTCCAAAAGGTAGTCATTTGTTTGTGCTATTATTCACCCCCCCCCCCTTTTGTTTTCAGAGTTCCTTTGTTCAAAGCGCATTAAAAATGTTTTTTATTTACAATTATGTACTTCATCATTGTTTAGAATCATAAATATTAACCTTTCCTACTTAGAAGCAGGGGCGGATTTAGGAAATGTGAGGCCCTAGGCAAACACAGGCAGGGGGCATAATATGTGACCATGCATCTTTAAGGAATCACATGCTGCAGGATGCATGAGTTTATTTTTGGTGAAGATTTTCACTGTGCTTCAGTCAGATAGTAGGATTTGAATTTTACACCCTTAGTCCATTAAAAAAGTAAAAAAGAAAAACAGGCAATATTTAGACCCCGATGCATGTTTACAGAAACAGCAGCATTCATAACAAGCGGGGGCTGATTTAAGAAATTTTCGGGCCCCAGGTAGAGACAGGCAGCCCTCTGAATTGAGAAGCCAACACATAGAACAGACCGATTCTCCAGATAGAGAAATGTTAATAGAATAGACATCCATTATCTGTTCTAGGTTGTGTCCCTCTCTTCTTGTCCCTTTTCTTCTTGTTTTCCTCTCTATGTTTTGTACTCAGCTGACTTTTCATGCTGTCTCTAAAGGAATGAAAGATTTTTTCCAAGCACTAAGCTCACTTAGCTGATTGCTCCTTCCTGTGTTTCCAAAAAGGCCAAAGTAAATAACCCAGTCCTTCTTTTCCCTGTAGACAAGCCATGATCTGCTTATCTGTTCTCCATTTTTCATTTGGATGAAATAATAGCTGCATGAATCATGACAGCAGACAAGATAGAGGAGAGCAGGAGGCGGGGTTACCAATCTACTCGCTCTGGAGAGCAGAGTTCGCTGCTTTTAGATGTTGTCTCCAAAGTCTCCAGTAGCAGAAAAAAGTCTCTAGATTTGGCGCTAGGAGCTTTTTAGAAATCAAAGTGCTAGAGGGGTCTGAAAAGTGGCTAAATATAGCGACTAAAGCGCTAAGTTAGCAACGCTGCTCTTTGCATGGTTTGTTTTCAAATGGTTTGCTGCTGTCTGTTTGGACCTTTCTGAACATTTGCAGCAAATGGACTGATCCAATATGGTGGACACTGAAGGGGGGGGGGGCTGAGACACGCTAAATATTATCAGCGTTCTGATGGCATTTTAGCCAAAAGGATTTTTATCAAAAACATAATTAATGTGCAGAAATAGGGAATAGTTGTATTAAACATACATGGAAACAGAGTTTTATGGGGCCCCCAGGAACTTGGGGCCCTAGGCACCTGCCTAGTGTTGCCTAATGGTAAATTCCAACCCCTGGAGGGATGTTGAACCCATTTTATAAATGAATGAATGACATTGTAAAAAAAAAATATGACTTGGGAAAAAGAATAAACCCTTATTTTTCTCTTAAAACCAACTAAATAACCATAAATATTGCTTCTAATTTCTGACTGCTTAACTTTACAAACGTCTCCCAGTACGTGTGAAGGAACAACCCATTAAAATTTCGTACTGATCCAGATCATGTGTGAGTTTTATGTCTGTGCTTTTCTAGGTCCCTCCAAAGACAAATCTCCGTCTAAAGAGTCTGAAATCTCCAGAAATACATCAATGTTTTTTGGTTAAAATGTGGTAAAACGTTGAATAAAACAGTTTTCAATTTATGACATCTGCTTATTACCATGATTATTAATTTTCACTGATATTTAGTCGTATAAATGTACTTTAGTTTTTTTTTTTGGTTCCAGTAATTTGCTGAGTTGATTCTGTAAAGTAATATCTACGTCTAACAACTCATCACACTCTTTTTAACTGAGTTCGGTTGATGATTTCAGCCGCTGCAGATTCCTGTAAACTTGCTTTTTCTTCGTCAGTGTTCTTCTTCCTCTGACCCTGCAATAAACCATCAGATCACTGAACGGTCTGCGGCCATTTTCTGTCAGGAAAACTCCACTTCCCCCCCGACTGCTTTGCTTATTGTTTACATATTATTCTAATAGTCGATTCTGTGAATTCCCCTTCTCTGAAAACAAGCTAAATGTAGAAACAGCAACACCAGTAAACACCACATCAGTTATGCTTCATACAGTAGATAGATAGACTTCAGATAGATAGATAGACTCAGATAGATAGATAGACTCAGATAGATAGATAGACTCAGATAGATAGACTTTAGATAGATAGATAGATAGATAGACTTTAGATAGATAGATAGACTCAGATAGATAGATAGATAGATAGTCTTCAGATAGATAGATAGATAGATATACTTCAGAGAGATAGATAGATAGATGGATAGATATGCTTCAGCTAGATAGATAGATGGATAGATATACCTCAGATAGATAGATAGATGGATAGATATACTTCAGATAGATAGATAGATAGATGGATAGATATGCTTCAGATAGATAGATAGATGGATAGATATGCTTCAGCTAGATAGATAGATGGATAGATATACTTCAGATAGATAGATAGATAGATGGATAGATATGCTTCAGATAGATAGATAGATGGATAGATATGCTTCAGCTAGATAGATAGATGGATAGATATACTTCAGATAGATAGATAGATGGATAGATATACTTCAGCTAGATAGATGGATAGATATACTTCAGATAGATAGATAGATGGATAGATATACTTCAGATAGATAGATAGATAGATGGATAGATATACTTCAGATAGATAGATAGATAGATGGATAGATATGCTTCAGATAGATAGATAGATGGATAGATATGCTTCAGATAGATAGATAGATGGATAGATATACTTCAGAGAGATAGATAGATAGATGGATAGATATGCTTCAGATAGATAGATAGATAGATAGATATACTTCAGAGAGATAGATAGATAGATGGATAGATATGCTTCAGCTAGATAGATAGATGGATAGATATACCTCAGATAGATAGATAGATGGATAGATATACTTCAGATAGATAGATAGATAGATGGATAGATATGCTTCAGATAGATAGATAGATGGATAGATATGCTTCAGCTAGATAGATAGATGGATAGATATACTTCAGATAGATAGATAGATGGATAGATATACTTCAGCTAGATAGATGGATAGATATACTTCAGATAGATAGATAGATAGATGGATAGATATGCTTCAGATAGATAGATAGATGGATAGATATACTTCAGATAGATAGATAGATAGATAGATGGATAGATATACTTCAGATAGATAGATAGATGGATAGATATACTTCAGATAGATAGATAGATAGATGGATAGATATGCTTCAGATAGATAGATAGATGGATAGATATGCTTCAGCTAGATAGATAGATGGATAGATATACTTCAGATAGATAGATAGATAGATGGATAGATATGCTTCAGATAGATAGATAGATGGATAGATATGCTTCAGCTAGATAGATAGATGGATAGATATACCTCAGATAGATAGATAGATGGATAGATATACTTCAGATAGATAGATAGATAGATGGATAGATATGCTTCAGATAGATAGATAGATGGATAGATATACTTCAGATAGATAGATAGATGGATAGATATACTTCAGATAGATAGATAGATAGATGGATAGATATACTTCAGATAGATAGATAGATGGATAGATATACCTCAGATAGATAGATAGATGGATAGATATACTTCAGATAGATAGATAGATAGATGGATAGATATGCTTCAGCTAGATAGATAGATGGATAGATATACTTCAGATAGATAGATAGATGGATAGATATACTTCAGATAGATAGATAGATAGATGGATAGATATGCTTCAGATAGATTAAGATAATGGATAGATATCCTTAAAGATAGAAGATAGATGGATGGGATATGCTTCAGCTAGATGGGATAGAGGGATAGATAGCTTCAGCTAGATAGATAGATGGATAGATATACTTCAAAATAATAGATAAAGGAAGAATATACTTCAATAGTAGAAAGTAGAGGGAAATAGATTACCAGATAGATAGAATAGATGGGATGGAAAGATATCCCTTCCCGCTAGATAGATAGATGGATTGGAAAAACCCAGATAGAAAATTGGGATGGAAGAATATTTCCCGATAGATAGATAGAAAAAATTGGATAGTATGTTTCGAAAGTTTAGATAGCAGGATAGAAAATGCTTCGAAAGATGGATAGTTTGGAAGAAAGGCTTCACAAATTAGATAAAAGGATAGATATACCTCAATAGATAGATAGAGGGGAATAGATATACTTCAGATAGATTAAAATAGTTTAGATGGATAATATGCTTCAGATAGATAGAAAAGGGGGATAGATATGCTTCAGCTAGATAGATAGATGGATAGATATACTTCAGATAGATAGATAGATGGATAGATATACTTCAGCTAGATAGATGGATAGATATACTTCAGATAGATAGATAGATGGATAGATATACTTCAGATAGATAGATAGATAGATGGATAGATATACTTCAGATAGATAGATAGATAGATGGATAGATATGCTTCAGATAGATAGATAGATGGATAGATATGCTTCAGCTAGATAGATAGATGGATAGATATACCTCAGATAGATAGATAGATGGATAGATATACTTCAGATAGATAGATAGATGGATAGCTATTCTTCAGATAGATAGATAGATGGATGGATAGATATACTTCAGATAGATAGATAGATAGATGGATAGATATGCTTCAGATAGATAGATAGATGGATAGATATGCTTCAGCTAGATAGATAGATGGATAGATATACCTCAGATAGATAGATAGATGGATAGATATACTTCAGATAGATAGATAGATGGATAGATATACTTCAGATAGATAGATAGATAGATGGA